ACATCAGTAATCTAATTATTTACCTTATTCTAAATAAGCCAGTATTATGATTATGGTGTTTACATGAGTGGCTTTTAGAATATTCCTTTCATGTTCCCGTTTTACATGTTATAGTACATAGTTCGATTATGGCACAGAAGAACAAACATCACTGCAACACTCCAATGATCTGGGAATTATGGTGGTATGGCCAGACTGAATCCTCTCCTTAGTGAAGATAACCCCACTTTTGGGGTTGCAAAAAAGCACCTAAAGGACTCTCAGACTGTGAGAAACAAGATTCTCCAGTCTGGTGAACCTCAATTCCAATTGTCTGCAGGAAACCAGGCACTGCTCATTACCTGCACAATACCATTCCAACAGTGAAGCATTGTGGTGGCAGCAGCTTTCATGTTGTGGGGGTGATTTTCAGCAACAGAGGCTTGGGGACTTGTCAGGGTAGAAAGAAAGTTCAACACAGCAAAATACAGTGATATCCTTAATGAAAACCTGGTTTAGAGCACTCAGACTGGGCAGAAGGTTCACCATCCCTAAAAATGGCTGTCCACTGACGGTCCCCATCTACCCTGACAGAGCTTGAGAGGATTTGCAGAGAAGAATGGCAGACAATCCCCAAATGCATGTGCAAGAAGCTTGTTGCATCGATTTTACCCAAAAGACCTGAGGCTATAACCTTTGCCAAAGCTGCTTCAACTGATTTTAAGGGTGTGAATACGTACGCAATGTAAATATTTCAGTTTTTCCTTTCTAATAAATTTGCAAAGAAATCGCAGATGTTTTTTGCTTTGTCATTATGGTTTATTAAGTGTAGATTGATGTGACAAAAAGGTAATTTACAGCAGCTTAACATAAGGCTGCAACATAACCAAATGTGTGTAGTAAAAAAAAAAAAAAAAATCTATTTTGCAAAGCACTGTATACATAATTGGAATAGTGGCAGACCTCATTATTTTTATTAATATTTGCACCTCAGTGTATTGCAGATATATAGTCTTATAATAGACTTATTAGAGTCTTATAATTGCATATTATTAAAATCATAAATGAGATATTTTCCTACTATTAGATACCCATTAGGCACTTCTTTTCAACATTTATTTTATTATTTATTTATCTTTTTTTATGATAAAAGGCAAAAGAAGAGTGGGATCGGAAAAATACAGATTTTAATATGGGTCAGTTGCGTCAAATGCTAAATCCAAAATCCCTACTCTCCACGCTATTGTCCTAGCTACCTTGGGTTGGTTTCTTCTTTTGTGGTTTATCTAAGCTTGGTTACTTTCGTAACTTTCTCTTGCTCAACCAGACAGTGGTGAGCATAGTTAGTGCAAACAGCCTTTGCCAACAAGACAAGCAGACAGACAGATCTGCACTCAAGTAAAAACAGGCGCTCTGGTCATTTTAATCGTCTCTTTCTCACACAGAATGATCAAATGGCTTCAGAAAACTTGGGTAACTGAACATAAGTCATACTTGGACTACTTTTATGGTGGTTTTGGTCATTTTTGGAGCTTGATAGTGCTTGGTCACCATCCACTTTAATTGCATGGCACAGCATGAACATCTTTCCTAACATCTTTTGTGGTCTTTGAAAGAAAGTAAATCACCCATTTGAAAAGCAACTCTCGATCCAAACTCTGTCCACACCACTGTGCTAACACCCATAGCTCCATAACCTCTCCACTCACCTGTGCATTACATCTTGCAACCTGTACGAGCCACTTTAGTTCCCGTGTGTGACCTGTAGCTGCAGCATCATGGACAGGTGTGGCTCCATTGAGGGCCCTTGTGTTAGCATCGAGCCCTGCTTCTGTCACCAGAAAGCAAAGGCAGTCCAGCTGACCACAGCGTGCAGCATGGTGCACCAGTCCCGCCCCCTGAGCATCCACAATGGTGCCGGTAAGACATCCAGATTCGGCGAGCTCCCTGAGGCTCTGCAGGTCTCCCTCGCGGGCTGCGGCAATGGCCTTTTGGAGCACCATGTCAACCCTGCCTCTCTGCACCTGCGCAAGCTGCCTTTGACTGGATCCGGACACTGTCTCGAGAAATTCAACCTACCCCCCAAGGCACACATGCACAGACACACACAGGGGAAGCCGACACCTAACCATCTGCCAGCTGGCGGGGTTAGGTGAGCGGAGGAGAGGAGCAGGTCTGGCCCGGTGAGCTGTAAAGGTAATGAAAGACGTCACAATGCACCAGTGCTCATCGTGGCCCAGCCGTTGCCTTTGTGCTCGTTTACCAACCTGCACATGGTTGCCCTCATCTCTGGCAGCAGACACCCGAGTAATGAGAGAACTGGCCTCTGAAGACCTACTAAAACCGGTGTGCATGCATGTGGCATGTGATTAGAGATTACAGTAAGCCTCATTTTCACAATATTCATTTCTGTCTGAATGGCCAAGAGGGTGTCTGGAAGGAGAACAAGGGATTAGAATGGAGCAGTTTGGTCAGATCAGATTAGGACTGAGATATTAAAGAGAGTCCATTTAGCTCATTTAATAATTCTGGTGCAGCTTTGTTGTACTGGTAACATATCTCTGTCTCATTCTCAATGTGCACGCTCCATCACACCCCAATGTAACTAAGTGCAGCCAGCAAGTTAAAATGAACAGGTCTCTGTTGCTTCCCTGAAAAATAGGGTATGAACATCTACAACATAATTAGAACAATTCACATTATTCAATTATGAAACCATTTTTTTTAAATACAACATACCAGTGTATTTAATATAAAATCAGGAGGGGCAAACGTCTAAATATCAAAACCAAATAACTAAAAATCCCTGTTAAAAAGAACTCAAAAAAGAATCAAAATTACCAAAGTCAACAGTCATATGCAAGTAGGGGTGTGCAATACATACAAAAAAATTATATCTTGATATTTAATGTCATTTTACTGGTAACAGTGCATTTTTTTTCTGTTATGGAGGGCTGATTTTCATATTCCTAACATTTTGTGCAGTGGTTGGTTAGTTTCCCAGTGACAGAAATAAACGATTCAATTACATTTTGCAAAGCAAGTAACATACTCTATAAAGTCAGTTTGCAATTATGATATTTTTATGGACTTTACACATTGCACACCTCCATTTGCAAGCTGCTTAAAGTATTTTTTTTTTACCATTTATCAGCTAAATTCCCTGAAGTTCCATATATGAAATATGCTTTACCAAGTAATATTTACGTTAAACATTATGTTCTGCTAAACAAGCTCTTAGATCAATATAGTGCAACCTGACAATGTCCCTGAATCCTGAACTCTAGTCTCATGACACACCATCTAATCTATTTGCAAAGCAAATAAGATTTATATTAAATATTATATTCTGCTAAATAAAGAGCTTGTAGATCAATATAATGCAACCTGACGGTGACCCTGAAACCTGAACTCTACAGTATACTCATGACACACATCATCTAATTTATGTGCAAAGCCACATAGCTGTAAACTAAAACCATTCAATAAAACTTGTCCTTTTTGGTTGGAGTTCAATATCCATATATAGTCAGGTCAAATATCCATGGTGCTAGTTCATCCGCTCCAGTTGCTCTACAGTGTCTCTCAGATCCTCCACGACAATGTCCACATCTTCACGGGAGGTACATCTACCCACACTGATCCTCAAAGCGTTGGTAGCCACATGATATGGAATCCCACAGCTTAGAAGAATATGGGAAGGTCTAAGGAAATAAGAGCACATGACCAAATTGCTGCAAAAAACATTAAGGATTTTCCACGTACTGATCTGTCTAGAGCACAGTACATTTACATTTAATCATTTAGCAGATGCTAAATGTACTGTGCTCTAGACAGTACAGTACACTTGTGCAGTACACTTGTGCACAGTAGAGTGCACAAGCCTATACAGTCAGTGTACAGGATGGATGAGTTCGGCTACATTTGTTTTTGAGTGCTCTAATTATTTAGACACTTGAAAATGTTAAGGATTTGATACTACACTGGTGAAAATTCACACTTGTCCTTATACAAAAAAAGAAATGATATTGACTTCAAACTTTTTCAGTGACTATGTTTACATGGACATCAGTAATCTAATTATTTACCTTATTCTGAATAAGACAATATTACGATTAAGGTGTTTACATGAGCTGCTTTTAGAATATTCCTTTCATGTTCCCGTTTTACATGTTATAGTACATAGATCGATTAATGGCACACGTCATTACATTACCACGCAACGCCATCCGACGTCCCCTCCAGAATTTCATGTATAAACATATAGTTCGTCTTCGTTATGATGCCATATACAGTTTTGGGTGTTTCATTTTTAATTTACTGAAAGCTTCAAGTGCAGTTAATTATTTTTCACGCTATACGTGCAAGCAGACTACGGCGTTGTTGAAGCCATTCTTTTGTTTGCCGTCAAACGGTTGAGCACTGCCGTGTGTGTATCCTGTCGCAAAATGCGGCTAAAAGTCCTACACGACGGTAATAATGTGATTAAGCTGTGTACATGACTATACTGCACTTCAGTAATGCGACTAAAATAGGAATACTCCACATGTCTTAATTAGATTTGTGTTTACTTTGATTATGACTTTAGCTGGATTAAGATATTCAAAAATCTCTGTTTACATGGTAGATTCTTAATCAGAGTATTGTCTTAACCGTATTAAAATCGGAGTATTTGTGTCCATGTAAACGTACTGATTGTAAGTACAGATGACTTACTGATCTCCTCTGTCTGAGTGGCAGGCAGAACCCACACTGGCCAACAACCTCCTACAGGTGGACAGCACTCTACGCCCTACAGCAGGGGGGAAGAGTCTCATCAATTATTCACAAAAGCTCTTGTGTTTTACAAATCTGCTGTTATAGGAAATTTCATTTAAGCAAGCTTAAATATATCATTACTGTGATGAATCTTTAATGTACATGTGTGCACTATACATGTAAATGACAATGTGCAGCTAAAAATATCTGGATGTACAAACATATTCCATTCATGTACTGTGAAAGACAAGGTTAGAAAATGGTCATTCACTCACCCTGAAGTCCCCTTCCCGAAATGGATACATTGCATGTGTTGGGCAAAATGTCTGCGCCAGGAAAATGGCTGTTAAAATTAATCTTATCTCTTCCAAAGACAGTCTAAAAATTTAAATGCAATAAAAATGAGAAGAAACAAATACAACAAAATCTATATAAAAATACAGGCTACATTATTACCTACTGAAATATTTGTACCAGTCAGCTATAATAAGGCAGAAACAGGACTTACAAGCAGCTTCTGCTCTAGATAGCATCGGATGTCCAGGAAATGGGCTTCATACTCTGCTAGATTTAAGATTACCAATTCTGCAGCCTTTTCAAAGAAATAAAAATAAAAATGTATGCAATGTATGTACGCGGATACGTTGTTTACGCTTTGAACTGAACTTAAACAATGTATCCGCGTACATATGTTGCATATGTTGTTTACATATGTGATACTCTCCAAAATGGCGCTATAGGGTGACGTGGAGGAGACGAAATGTTGAATAAAGTTATTTTTGTTTTCTTTGCACACAAAAAGTCTTCTCGTAGCTTCGTAAAATTACGGTTGAACCACTGATGTCACATGGATTATTTTAACAATGTCCTTGCTACGTTTCTGAGCCTTGATCGTGTAAGGATCCTTGCTGTCTATGGGAGGGTCAGGGAGCTCTCAAAATTAAACAAAAATATCTTAATTTATGTTCCGAAGATAAACGAAGGTCTTACAGATTTGGAACGACATGAGGGTGAGTAATTAATGACAGAATTTTAATTTTTGGGTGAACTATGCCTTTAAGGTTTCAGTGAAATTTCGCAGGCACCACTCATATACAAGTCACTTTCAAACCAAGCAGCTTTCTGTTGGTCAACATGGTGAATTTGAATGACCAACTTGAAAAGAAGCTGAATCTGTATGAGGAACTTTTTTTTTTACCCTCATGCAATGCAGTTTCCTATTGTTCCTATTGTATACACTGTGTTCCAAATTATTATGCAAGTGACATATCAATAGGATTTCGGTACAATAAAGAGTCAGATTTTTGTTTGTGTTGTTTTTCACATCGTTTTAGATAACTGGTATCAATCTCAGACAGGTTTGTTCAATAGTTTGCCAGGTCTTCTTAGGTAAATGGAAACCCTACTTAAAGAGGTTGTTCCACATTATTAAGCAAGTCACAGTTCTCATGCGATATGATGAGGAAGAAAGATCTTTTTGAAGATGAAAAGTATGAAACAATGCAATGTCTTGCAAAAGGCATCAAAACAAATACTATTTTGCGAAAATCAAATAGAGATTATTGAACTGTCAAAAGATTTGTGAGTGACTTAGAGCACAGAAGATCTTGGTCAGATAAAGATATATTAAGGAAAGTTTCTGTCAAACAAATTAACTTTATTGTAATGCCAGCTGTAAAAAAGCCACTGCTGAGCAGCAAACACGTGTTTGAAGCTACTGGAGTCTCAAGATCCTCTCCATACAGACTGGGAGTTGTTTTGGTCAGATAAAGATTTATTAAGGAGAGTTTCTGTCAAACAAATGAACTGTATTGTAATGCCATCTGTATAAAAGCCACTGCTGAGCAGCAGACAGGTGTTTGAAGCTTCTGGAATCTCAAGATCCTCTCCATGCAGACTGGCAGTTGAGTGTAAAGCTGCGTTTCAGTCACTGCTAACCAACCCTCACAAAGAGAAACCTACACGGTGGCTGTAGAAACACATTTTCAAACATTGTCCTGCATGAAAATCCTTTTATTTCCGAGAGCACTATTATTCATTTTATACCACGGCAGAAAACGATCAGTTATGAACTCCACATATCTTGCAGAAGTCATTTTGACACCCTAAAATTACCTTACATCTCACTTCCCAATATTCCAACCCAAATCATCCCCCACCGCCTCCTTGCTGATGTTGCAGTCTCATTGGAATAGGACGGCCATTCATCAACTATCAGAAATCCATTTATCTGGACCATCCATTGTACTGCAGCATTCGTAAGTGAATACAACTATTTAAAAACAAGTCTTCATGTGTTTCTACAGCCACTGTGCAGGTTTCTCTTTGTGAGGTTTGGTTAGCAGTGACTGAAACGCAGCTTTACACTCAACTGCCAGTCTGCATGGAGAGGATCTTGAGACTCCAGAAGCTTCAAACACCTGTCTGCTGCTCAGCAGTGGCTTTTATGCAGCTGGCATTACAATACAGTTCATTTGTTTGACAGAAACTCTCCTTAATAAATCTTTATCTGACCAAGATCTTCTGTGCTCTAAGTCACTCACAAATCTTTTGACAGTTCAATAATTTCTATTTGCTTTTTTGCAAAATACTGTTTGTTTTGATGCCTTTTGCAAGACATTGCATTGTTTCATACTTTTTATCTTCAGAAAGATCTTTCTTCCTCAACATATCGCATGAGAACTGTGACTTGCTTAATAATGTGGAACAACCTCTTTAAGTAGGGTTTCCATTTACCTAAGAAGACCTGGCAAACTATTGAACAAACCTGTCTGAGATTGATACCAGTTACCTGAAATGATGTGAAAATCAAAACAAACAAAAATCTGACTGTTTATTATAACGAAATCCTATTGATATGTCACTTGCATAATAATTTGAAACACAGTGTGTGATCGTACCCCTAATAAGTGCCTTTTTTATTGTACTAGTTGTTATATTTACTATACTATATAACTACTGTATTCATTTGCATAGAATTTTAATGTGTTTATTATAATTCATATGTCTTCAATGAATGTCATACGACTTCTATATTTTCACACCAGCAGTAACAATATGCAGGGGCGCAACTGCACATTTGCCGAGGGGTATGCAAGATCAGTGTCGGTGCCCCCCTGTATTCTAGTAGCCTCTAACACGAACTCCCGCAGAAAACTTTCTGTGAGTCAATGACAAAAAGCCCATTAACTAGCTTGTTCATGGAAGGATACAAACTCATCAGGAGTGAAAAAAGTGACAAAGGTTTGAACCCCCTTCCCCCATTTTCAATACCATAGGGAAAAAAGTGAAAAGTAAAAAAAAAAGAAAAGTGTGTCACATAACATCCACTTTAACTCCTGATGGCAGACCCCAGACAGTAGAACACATTTTTTTTATTCATTTTTATTTTCAAACACATATACTATTGCTCACTTTTTAGTTAGGTAATTTGAATATATATATATAATTTGCCTCAAAATTATTAATATAATAATATAGTTATATAGTAAAATTTATTTTAAAGAACAATTGTTATTTATAATATTTATAAAAAATATTTTTTTTTTTTTTTTTTTTTTTTTC